TAGGTCGGTAGAGAGAGGAAGGAAACGGAACAAGGTCAGAAGAGAGAGGGAGAAAAGAGGAACAATCGGTCGATAGAGCGAGGAAGAGAAACGAAACAAGCTCAGAAAGAGAGGAAGACAAAGAGAAACAATAGGTCGGTAGAGAGAAAAAGAGAAACGAAACAAGGTCAGAAGAGAGGAAGACAAAGAGAAACAATAGTTCGGTAGAGGGAGGAAGAGAAAGAGAAACAAGGTCAGAAGAGAGAGGAAGACAAAGAGAAACAATAGGTCGGTAGAGAGAGGAAGAGAAACGAAACAAGCTCAGAAGAGAAAAGAAGACAAAGAGAAACAATAGGTCGGTAGAGAGAGGAAGAGAAACGAAACAAGGTCAGAAGAGAGAGGAAGACAAAGAGAAACAATAGGTCGGTAGAGAGAGGAAGAGAAACGAAACAAGCTCAGAAGAGAGAGGAAGACAAAGAGAAACAATAGGTCGGTAGAGAGAGGAAGAGAAACGAAACAAGGTCAGAAGAGAGAGGAAGACAAAGAGAAACAATAGTTCGGTAGAGGGTGGAAGAGAAACGAAACAAGCTCAGAAGAGAGAGGAAGACAAAGAGAAACAATAGGTCGATAGAGAGAGGAAGAGAAACGGAACAAAGACAAGAGAGAGAGGAAGACAAAGAGAAACAATAGGTCGGTAGAGAGAGGAAGAGAAACGAAACAAGCTCAGAAGAGAGAGGAAGACAAAGAGAAACAATAGGTCGGTAGAGAGAGGAAGAGAAACGAAACATGGTCAGAAGAGAGAGGAAGACAAAGAGAAACAATAGGTCGGTAGAGAGAGGAAGAGAAACGAAACAAGGTCAGAAGAGAGAGGAAGACAAAGAGAAACAATAGTTCGGTAGAGGGAGGAAGAGAAACGAAACAAGCTCAGAAGAGAGAGGAAGACAAAGAGAAACAATAGGTCGATAGAGAGAGGAATAGAAACGGAACAAAGACAAGAGAGAGAGGAAGACAAAGAGAAACAATAGGTCGGTAGAGAGAGGGAGAGAAACGGAACAAGGTCAGAAGAGAGAGGGAGAAAAGAGGAACAATCGGTCGATAGAGCGAGGAAGAGAAACGGAACACGGTCAGAAGAGAGAGGAAGACAAAGAGAAACAATAGTTCGGTAGAGGGAGGAAGAGAAACGAAACAAGCTCAGAAGAGAGGAAGACAAAGAGAAACAATAGGTCGATAGAGAGAGGAATAGAAACGGAACAAAGACAAGAGAGAGGAAGACAAAGAGAAACAATAGGTCGGTAGAGAGAGGGAGAGAAACGGAACAAGGTCAGAAGAGAGAGGGAGAAAAGAGGAACAATCGGTCGATAGAGCGAGGAAGAGAAACGGAACACGGTCAGAAGAGAGAGGAAGACAAAGAGAAACAATAGGTCGATAGAGAGAGGAAGAGAAACGGAACAAAGTCAAGAGAGAGAGAAAGACAAAGAGAAACAATCGGTCTGTAGAGGGAGGAAGAGAGACGTTACAAGGACAGAAGAGAGAGGAAGAAAAGAGAAACAATCGGTCGATTGAGCGAGGAAGAGAAACGGAACAAGCTCAGAAGAGAGAGAAAGACAAAGAGAAACAATCGGTCTGTAGAGGGAGGAAGAGAGACGGAACAAGGACAGAAGAGAGAGGAAGAAAAGAGAAACAATCGGTCGATTGAGCGAGGAAGAGAAACGGAACACGGTCAGAACAGAGAGGAAGACAAAGAGAAACAATAGGTCGGTAGACAGAGGAAGAGAAACGGAACAAGCTCAGAAGAGAGAGGAAGACAAAGAGAAATAATCGGTCTGTAGAGGGAGGAAGAGAAACGGAACAAGGACAGAAGAGAGGGGAATAAAAGAGAAACAATCGGTCGATAGAGCGAGGAAGAGAAACGGAACACGGTCAGAAGAGAGATAAAGACAGAGAGAAACAATAGGTTGGTAGAGAGAGGAAGAGAAACGGAACACGGTCAGAAGGGAGCGGAAGAAAAGAGAAACAATCGGTCTGTAGAGAGAAACGGAATAAGGACAGAAGAGAGAGGAAGAAAAGAGAAACAAGAAGTTGATAGAAAGAGGAAGAGAAGTGGAACAAGGTCAGATAAGAGAGAGGAAGAAAAGAGAAACAATCGGTCTGTAGAGAGAGGAAAAGAAAGAGAGGAAAGTCAGCCCGGCCGCAATTTTCGACGGATTTGCACCAAAATTTACATGCACATGCTCCAAGTTAGCGGGAAGGCCAACACCGACGTTGCATTTCCCAACTCCCATCGATAGTGGAAGTAATCGATTTTTTCATGCTGCGGCAGTTTTCATGTAGTTTGTGGCCATTTTCTAGTGGACAGAGTGAGAGCCAATAACTGGCTGCCACGAATAGGCAGGAAGATTCTATTGGCAAGCGTGAGAGCCAACAGCTGACTGACACGAATGTTAACTAGCATGCTAGCATGCAAAAAAAAAATAGATAGCTGCATTCGTCACAAGTGGGAAAAATTTAAATCTGCATGACACTTTACTCCAATTGGCTCATTCGCTTGCTTAAACTTAACATTGATTCTGATTCCGCAGAACTGAGTTGGGTGTGAAAAAGTATTTGTTGTTCACATTCTTTTTTCATTCGGTTTTTCCAGTTACGAGTCCTTTTTTAAAGCTGATCGTTTTGTGTTCATTTTGTTTAGTTCTTTTTTCGTAACAGATTTAATGTTTAGTATAGAGCTTAGAAAAATTCGCAGTGTGAGATAGGCAAGAAGTAAGGCATGTAGCAACATCAGCACGGCAAAGGGCACTCCTTTAAAGGCAAGGATGGGCAAAATTATTCTAAGTCAAGTGATAACGATTGCTGTATGAGTCATACGATTTTTTAATCAAGCACGGGCAACGCCGGGCCATGCTTAAGCATTTCACCCCAAGCAAGGCGGGGAGCCACTAGGACGCAAGGGGTTACAGAAAATTTAGAGCAAGATCAGATAGGAGTGATAGAAGAAAGGATGAGGGTAGTGGATAGATCAAGGCAGCTGGAGATGTCGATTGACATTACACTTGAATAGCTGGAGATTATAGCTCTCAGGGAAACTGGAATAGGGAAGGGAGTTCCACAGGCGAGAGGTGCGAGACATGAAGCTATTGGAGTAGAAGAGACGACTACATTTAGGAGTTTCGACAGTGAAGGGGTGAGAGCGGGATGCCAGCCTAGTAAGTCGCTGGAACTCATGACGTCTGGGAACCAGTGAATGCAGCTCCTCGAAGCAATTTCCATGAAAGTATTTGTAGAACAGACAGAGGGAGGCGACGGCGCGTCTGTGAGAAAGTGACTGTAGACGAGACGCCAGAGCAGGGCCAACTACATTGCACATCCGCCTCTGGAGCCTATCAAGAACCCCGAGACAAACAGAAGGTGCACCAGACCATATATGGCAGCAATACTCCATGCAAGGGCGAACTGTGGATTTGTAGATTTGGATATATATATATATATATATATATATATATATATATTATTCTGGCCACCGGCAGGCCACTGGTGGGCTTCTAGCGGTCCGCCAGTGGTAAAATTACCGAGACGACAGCGGCAAACGCTAGTGGCATCCCAACCAGTGGCAGGTTGGTGGCTTGCGTGTAAGAGAGTTGAAGTAGACTTTGGAAGGAAACGACATCCCAATCCTAAACAGGAAACCAGTGATAAACCTCTACCCCCGCCAAAAAAAAACAGTGGAGTAGTGTGAACCGGGCAATAGGCGAACGTATCTACTCCCAAGGGGAGAGAAGAAAAAATAGTGAATAAAATTTCAGACTTTAGTCTGATACGTTAAAAGTGTCGGAGTTAACTCCTCCTTTAGTTCGTTAACCCTTTCACCAGGGGTCTCTCTTCCCTGGCTATAAATAGCCGCTGACCCTTCGCCTCTTTCTTTTTTTTTTCCTCAGGCCTTTGGGTCGCTACCTTGAGGTAAATTTCTCCTTTTCTTCAGGCTTCCAGCCTTACCACTTCAAAGATGTGAACGTTCACCAGAGATAGCGTTTCCCAAAATGCTGGGAACACGCTAAGCACAATACACACACACACAAACGCACATATATAATATTCACACACACTTTGTTCTTTTGTAACTGTTTCTATGTAACCTGTTATTAATAGATATATTTGTATACATATATTATCGGTCTTGTGTTTTGTTTGTTTTCTTTGCATTCTTTGGACTTCATTAAAAGTCCAACTTTCTTGTGTAGTTGGACCAGCTAGCAGGAAAATCTGAACCGACATGTTTCTTCTACTTCTACTCAACAACATTACAGCCACGATCCACCACTACAAAAGTATAGAGTTGAAACAGACTTTAGAATGATCTGGAAACAAAATCCTAAACAGGAAACAATAGATAAATCTCTACTCCAAAAAAATAAAAAAATAAAATAAAAAAGAAAAAAGAAAAACGGGAGGTTGTGGAAACCGGAGAGGAGGGGGAACCTATCTACTCCTATTCATCTCGATTTTATATTGCTATGCGTCGTGTAGCTTTTTAATGACACGGGGAACGAATTCGAAACCGAAACTTTAATTCAAACCGACATTTCATACAACAATATTATTTTGGTATCGCGAATTTTAGAAATATGAGACTGTTTTCAAAAATAAGGGGACAGTTTTGTTCCGTTTTTGACACATACAATGTTCTTAATTCTTTGGGATTGGTTTTTAGTTGCATAGCAATTCCAAGTTGTCGTCATTGTCATAATTAAAATAACAAACTCGTAAATTTTGATCCCTTTCTTCGCCACCTGAGTCAAGCGCGCAGATACAGAACAAAACGCACAGAGAAAGAACACAAGACGGAAAAGAATGCGGATAATAATAATAATAATAATAATAATAATAATAATAATAACGATAAGAATGCAGATTATTAAATAGAAAAAGGAGAAGATGGAGGAGGAGGAGGGGGGGTTAAAAGGAGGAAAGGGAGATTCAGAATTAAGGAGTGTCTCGTATACGTCAGATCGACATCTCCAGCGAATATGCGGTCTTCTGCTGACAGTTCAGCGCGACCTTGACACGGAGACGCCGCTATCTCTGTGGAAAGAAGTGCGTTTGTTTCAATATTGAAATGAGTTTATCAAAACAATTACGACGGAAAACAAAAGATGGTTCGTGTAAAAAAAGAAAAATGCAAGAGAAAAAAAAAATGGCGTATCTTTGGTTTAGTTGGTATTCAGATATAAAATTGTGAATTAAATGAAACTGTAATTAGGAACACAAAAGAACGAATTTAGTTTCCGCTCTTTTTCTCCCTCCTCTCACTCTTTCTCTCTCTCTCTCTCTCTCTCTCTTTCTTTCTTTTTTCTTTCCTTCTTTCTTTCTTTCTTTCTTTCCCTCACTATCTCTGTATTTTTCTCCCTCCTCTCTCTCTATCTCTCTATCTCTCTCTCTCTATCTCGCTTTCTCCTTCCTCTCTCCCTTTATCACCTTCTATCTTTCCCTTGTTTTCTCTCTATATCTTTCGACTTCTCTTTTTACGTTTCATTCTATTGGATTTTTAATTCCTTGTATCATTATCGTCATTTTTCCCTTTGTGCCTTGACTTCCCATTTCTCTCTCTCTCTCTCTCTCTCTCTCTCTCTCTCTCTCTTTCTTTCTTTTTTCTTTCCTTCTTTCTTTCTTTCTTTCTTTCTTTCCCTCACTATCTCTGTATTTTTCTCCCTCCTCTTTCTTTCTCGCTCTTTCAGTTTCTCGTAATATCATTCTTTTATATTTTCTTATTCTTTCCTCTTATTTTATCATCTTCTTCCCCCCCCTCTCTCTCTCTCTATATATATATATATATATATAGAGAGAGAAAAATCTAGTGAGGCAGACAAACCTACCTATCCGCTTAGGTGAAACCTGGGTAGGTTTGTCTGGCTCACTAAATTTATATATATATATATATATATATATATATATATATATAGTCAAACTTGTGAGCCAGACAAACCTGCCCAGCTTTCCCTGAAGATCCGCTTAGGTGAAACCTGGGTAGGTTTGTCTGGCTCACTAGGTGTATCTAGGTCTGTTCTACGGTTGTATTGAGCTCTTTTGCTAGTTAGTTGTTTACTCGTATCGGGGTTTTTTTCTTTGGGCTTCAAACCTGTATCTGTGTGATTTTTTCGACAGACTTTCATGTTTCTAGTTCTTTCTTTTTTTAAAACCTTTTTCCCCTCAAGATTGATTTGATTATTGACAAATCAAAAATTCAAAAGGTTTTTCGAAACGAGTATTGTTACCTATTGTAACCTATATTTTGATATATATATATATATTGATATATATATATATATATATATATATATATATATATATATATATATGTATAGAGAGAGAGAGAGAATGGTAAAATATATATAAAATCTCTCTCTTTCTCTCTCTCATATATATATATATATATATATATATATATATATATATATATATGAAGAAATATAGTTTTAAGGTGTGCTATATTGTTCAGATAAAGTGCTCAATATCAGAAATAGAGCGTATGTAAATATAAATATAAAAGTGAACATTGAAGTCAACACTCAGAGGCTGTTTCATGCTAGACGCAATCGTCTGGCCGCTAGTGTTGGATTTTTCTCGACTATTTACATATATGGCTCAGTGATGCATTATGGGTAATCCATTCTGGCAGATCATTTGGTGGGAGTGGCTTGTTTATTTATTTATTTCGGTTAGCTTATTTTACTTGTTTTTATTTTCATTTTTTATTTTTATTTTCGGTTTTCGATATTTTATTAACGTAGTAAAAAAAAGCTATTTATTCGACCCATTATTGGATTGATTGCCGTAGTCTATTCTGTTATTTTGGCAGGGAACAGTTTTAATTTTATAATTTTATTTATTCGTCTGAATTGATTATTTGTTTTTGTTTATTTATATTTGTTTTTATTAGTTCTACCGGTTATTATAGCGAGAGCGATTTGTTAATCTATTCATTTATTTATTTACTTGGATTAATTTTTACTTGTTTTCTCTTATTTATTTGCATATTTTTTTTTTATATTTTTATTTTGTGTATTTTTATTTATTCTTTTCGGTTTTCGATTTTTGAGTAACGTAGTGATTTTTTTATCGTTATTATATCAGTTATAGCTATTTTTTCTTCCGATATTTTTTATTGATTTTTTTGTAGTCTATTCTAACGGTTATTTTGGCGGGTTTGTGTTGTTAATTTGTTTATTCTTTTTTATTTACTTATTTGTGTTGATTGTTTTTACTTGCTTTTATGCATTTATTCCATTTCGTCTATTCTAACGGGAGTGGTTTGTTATTTTGTTTATTATTTGTTTGAGTTAATTTATTTTACTTGTTTTTAGATGATTTCGTTTATTTTTATTTATTCTTTCCAGTGTTCGATTTTTATGTAACGTAGTGAAAATTTGTTTTCATGTCTGCATTTTGAGCTGAGCTCAGGTGGTTTATTTAGTAATTTATTTTGATCTGGGAAAGTAATAATACACTCTTCTTCTTTTATCTCTCTTGTCCCTTCAGGACGTGGACGGTCATGGCTATCCACAGCCTCCTGCCCTTTGTTGCTCTTAGGCTTACCTTCCTGCTACCCTTCGTAATCCCAGTTCTGTGAACCATTTGCACAAGCTCGTTAGGTAAATCCTTCGCTGCTTTCCTCTGTCCATCTTACCTTCAATATGCCCTGTGAGTGTCATATTCTCCTAACTCTTTCCTTTTTGCTTTTTGTAATGTTTGTCTTTTTATCTACGCCCCCCACTTTTGTTCCGCGATCCATTCATAAAAATTTCTCAGGTAGTTGTCCCAATGTCTTTCCCCTTTTCTTTTTGCCTTCAATATGTCTACTGAGTGCCAAATTCTCCAAGCCCTCTTTCCTCATTATATGTCCTAGAAGTTTTGGCTGTTTCTTTATGATTCCACTTTCTTTAAAAGTTGCCCGTTGCCTACATCTTTGATCCATGATATTCTCAGTATCCTTCTGTAGAAGGACATTTCCGTTGCCACCGGTTTTCTCGTCATCTGTGTGGCAATTGTTCAGCATTCACTGTCGTAAAAGAGAACTCTGCAAGATACCAATCAATTTTGAAGGAAAGTGTCTTGTTCTCACTTCAAAAGTTTGGTTTAGACATGTTTGGAACTTCCAACTGAACAATGATCTGAAGCATCAAAGCAAACTAACGGTTCGTAAAAAGAAATTTCAAGTCTTAGAACGGCCTAGTCAAAATCCTGATCTAAACCCAATTTAAAATCTGTGATTCAAGTAAAAGAAGGCATTTTATACAAGAAACCCTGGAAAAACGAGCAATTGTGGGAGTTTTGCCAAGAAGAATCGTCAAAAAGTGGCGCTCACTACTGCCAGAAACTTCTTAAAAATTATAGAAAAAGACTGGTCGACATTGTAACATTAAAAAGAGCAGTCCCTAAATATTAAATGCAAGGACTTCCTTACTTTTGCACATCTTAATTTTTAATTTTTTTATTAATATTTTCATTCCAGCTTGATAATTTTTTTTTTTTTTTGAAAGTGGCTGTAATTTATTCAATAAAGTTTTTTTTTTCTTAATGAATATATAGTTTAATTAACATTTGTTGATTATCTAGAAGAAAAAGTCATTTAAAAAAATTTATTATCTTAGGAGCTCACTTGCTTTTGCACAGCACTGTATATAATTATAGGCTTCTTAAAAAATGAAGATATTATTTATAGGTTTATAATAATCCGGTCGATATCAATTATAGATTTCTAACTAGAACAACTTAATGCCCATGGTCCCAAAAATGATCCTCAAAAAACGTCGTATTTGAATGATTTCAATCAGGCGTGTGATGAAGATTGATAGGGGGCTTGCGTAACGGACAAGAATAAATCCAACTGGTAAGAACTAGAGCACTTCGAGTATTACTCACATGATCCATGATTACGAGAGAAGATTTTTTCGTAGCCTGCTTGTGAAGAAAGTGGGGTGCTATAGGCTATGTAGGGAAACTGGCAATCCAATTCGTTGACAAGCGGCCAAATGTGGTTGAATATAGGGATATGCTAAAAAGAAGAAAAAAACATGCGAATTTACGAACACAATGTTTTCGGGTGGGAGGCCCACAGTTCGTGTTTCATCAGGATTATAAATGATGGAAGAGTCTTGCAACGGTTTCTACAAGAGACAAGTATAAATTGTTTTTGTCTGCCTCGAATAGCAACATTGACAACGAATGATGCTTGGCGATAAAGTTTTTTAAGGGGCAATTTAATATTGTGTAGGTATTCAAAAACGCCATCTTCGAGGTACCTACTGGATTCTTGCATCGTTTTGCCCAAAGGGTGCCAGATAGAATTTCCCAATTAAGAGTAATGACGAGCCTACAAAGTATTAAAAGTTTTATATTTCTATAAAAATATTTTATAAAGTTTCTAATAAAACAATAAAAATAGCCGCTAAGTTTAAATTTCTGCAGAATTGTGTAATTAATTACCTGATATCTGTCTCTGTTTCGGCCTTTCAGTATCTGTCTATATTTCTGAGATGAGGTATTATGTACACTATTTACATTATTCGGACTATTGTCCTCATCTTTGTCGCCATATTTATTACGTTTCGGCCTTTCAGTATCTGTCTATATTTCTGAGATGAGGTATTATGTACACTATTTACATTATTCGGAGTATTGTCCTCATCTTTGTCGCCATATTTATTACAACGTTTCGGTCTTTCAGTATCTGTCTATATTTCTGAGATGAGGTATTATGTACACTATTTACATTATTCGGTCTATTGTCTTCATCTTTGTCGCCATATTTATTACAACGTTTCGGCCTTTCAGTATCTGTCTCACTTTTCCCTCCATATGTGGTCAGCTATGCCTGATTTTTCTATTTTCCGATGTTCTTGCTGTCTTACTTTAAGGCGGCGCCTTGTTTCTCGTTTATATTTCTTACCACGGCTGCACGGGATGTCGTACACACAGTTCTTAGTCATGTTCTCCTCTATGGGCGGAGGTCTTACTCGAAAGAGGTGTCTGTAAAGCGCTGTACCACTTTTGAAGATTATGCTGATCCCGATCTTATATGGACCACAGATCTTTTGCATTTTCTCCGATAATCCCTTCACACAGGGTAGGCAGACCGAAGCTGTTTTCTGAGTGTTGTTATTCTCTTGTACCCTACTAACTCGGTTTATCGAAGCTGCAGTCATGTACCCGGGGTACTTGTTATGTTGTAAGGTACTGCTTATGCTGATCATATCTTGTTCATATATCTCTGGATCGCCACTTATGACTTTTGCTCGATGTTCTAAGCAACGGACGTTCCTTTTGTTTACACTGTATGGGTGTTGCGAGTTGAAGTTAGGGTGAATATAGGCTAGCGGTATACGGACACCTATGCTCTGTTCGGGATATTAGTACAGCGATGCTAATCTAAGGCACTGGAACACCTACCAGGATATATTATCGAGGGGCGTAATATTAGATACGTAGTTGACACTCAATTGACGACCGACTTGAAAAGGAAACTACAAGACGGGATGGTAGAAAGCGCGAAGAAAATGGCGGAAACATCAATTGCAAGAAGACAGAAAATATGGTTATCATCAAGAGAATAGGCCCAAAATGCAAATTACGAATTTGAGGTAGATGCATCAAGCAGGTGAGATGTTCAAATATTAGAAAAGAGTTTAGAGTTTACCTGGAAAGAAAGAATGCAGTTAAAAATAAGACGCATTGAAATTAATGCATGC